GACAGCCTTGGCTTGCGAGCTGAGCTTCCACGCACTGATGACGCTGCAGCCGCCAAGCAGACGATCAGCGGGTCGAGGGTTTAGGGGTTAAGGGTTTAGGGTTTAGGGTTTAGTGGTTTAGTGGTTTAGTGGTTTAGGGTTTAGGGTTTAGGGGTAGAGGTTTAGGGTTTAGGGTTTTAGGGATGGTTTTAGGGTTTTAGGGTTTAGGGTTCTGGGGAGGGTTTAGGGGCTTAGGGTTTTAGGGCTTTGGGCTTTAGGGTTTTGGGTTTCAAGGTTTAGCGTTTAGGCGTTTGGGGTTTAGGGCTTTGGGTTTCGGGGTTTAGCGTTTAGGGGTTTGGGGTTTAGGGTTCAGGGCTTAGGGGGTTTGGGGTTCAGGGTTTAGGGGTTTAGAGGTTTAGAGGTTTCAGGGCTTAGGGGGGTTTAGGGTCCCAGGGTTTAGGGGTTTAGGGGTTTAGGGTTTTAGGGTTTAGGGGGTTTAGGGTTTAGGGGTTTATGGGTTTAGGCTTTAAGGGTTTAGGGTTTAGGGGCTTAGGGACTAATGGATTAGGGTTTAGGGGTTTAGGGTATAGTGTCTTGGCTGACTGCTGAACCCCTCCAAAAAGTTAAGCTTGTAGTTAGTCTCCTTATTCTAGTTCATACGGAAGCCCAAAAAGTTCAAGTCCTAGGAGCCAACGAGAAGAACGCCAAGGTATAGTTGGATTTTACATGGGGTGGGCGTTACTGCTCTGGGGGGTTCATGGTCTTCTAAAGCCTTAATAATTTCAATAGGGTTTCAGGGTTCCTTTAAAGGATTCCTTAAAGGGTTCTTAAGGGCCACTAGAAGCGCTTAGGGGCCTAGTAATTGGAATAGGGTTTTGGGGTATACTATACTAGAATTATGATAAGGACCCCCCGAAAGGAGGGCTGTCCATGAGCGGCATAAAACCTCGTAATCCCTAGTTCTCCCTAGTGGCCCTAGTACTCCTCGGCTTCTCTGAGGGTTCCCTTATGAAGGCTCTTCTCGGGTTTGGGTTTAGGCTGGTCTGAACACAAAACCCTGAAATCCCTACACCCTAAACCACCAAGCCCCCAAACGAATGTAACACTACAAACAAATCCTTCTAGAATGCTCAAAACAATCCTAGTAGAGGACTGCAAGACCCCTGACCCTAAACCCTAAACCTAAAAAACTTTTGGCTGGTCTTGAAACCCCAGCGTCCCGGCGCTGCATGACTGAGGCAGGGGCGAGACAAAATCTAAAAATCGAGCTCGGTTGGCCTTGCAGGCAGGGTTGCACAAGTTCAGGGCTGACGGTTTACAGTACAATCACCTCATATTATACTAAGAGAATACCGTGGCTTTGTTTTGCTTCATCAAAGAGGTTTTAAGAAATGGGGGGGGTCGCGTAAGGGCTCGGCGTCATAGTTTGAAGACGACTAGGAAGGCCCTGTAACCGAAAACTTGTGAACCGATGCCCTTATTACCCCTCCATCCTTTCATACGGTTTTAGGGTTTAGGGTTTTAGGAGCCTTACTAATCAATCAAAATAGGCATTGAGTCTATATGGTCCCTTTTTACCCTCTTCCTTATTGTCCGAGACGGCTCTTGGGTTCTTGGGCTTTCACAACGATGTAGCAGAGATAAAAGAGTTTAGGGCTTACGAGTTAGGGTTCAGGGTTAGGGTTTAGAGTTTAGGGCTTACGGGTTACAGCGCGGGTCTCATGTGGCGGCCTTACTTTCTAGACCAGGCCTGTGGTGGAAAGTATCATTGAATATGAGCCTAAACACCTTTGGCACCTCTATGAACATCGGGGCACTTTCAACACCGTCTAGCATACTTCAGAAGGACACCTCTTGCCCCTCCCCACCCGCAGAATCCTAACGTTTGGGGTTTAGGGTTTAGGGCGTAGGGCTTAGGATTTACATTGTAGGGGACTTAAATTGTAGGGCTTAGATACCCAGAATCCTACAAGTACTCCAAATTCCGAGACCCGAACCTAGGACAGAGTGCCGAACTTCTTCCTCTAGGGTTTCAGGAGGTGGTTCGCACGATCGCTAAACTTAGGAACCCTGAGAATGCGCTACGGCTGAACATCATAAATTAACCATGGGCCCCATAGTAGTTCCTTTTTGGGATTACCTTATAGGATTCTGAATATGAACCCCCAAAAGGAACTACTATGGTGCCTATGGGTAACCAGGCCCCTACATTACCAAGAATCCGCCTTCGTAAGACATCGACCCTTCCCTCTAAGCAATGTGAGCCCGAGCCTGGTCCATCTCGAGCAGGACAGAAACGAGGTGAGTGAAAAGCCTCACACCGGGGTTTAGGGTTTAGGGTTTAGGGTTTAGGGTTCAACGGCATCGCGGGCTGTGAATGTTGAGAAGCTCTTTTCGGTTTGTGGCTTCTTGGGTTCAGGGACAAGGAATTTAGAGTTTCGTTTCCTGGGCGGGAGAGGCACACACGACCATAGGCAAAGACCGGCAACAGCCAGTTTTTGGGAGATCGCGACAGCAAAAAAAATCTACGCGGCAGATCTCAAACAACCTGAAACCTAAGGAACTACCCTCTGTCCCAGAAAACTGCGGGAAGGGCAGCCCTGCCCAAACTATCTTGGAGAAACATTCAAACAACAGAACCGTCAAAACTCACTCTAAACCCTCCGCCAGAAGTCCGAGACCCCTAAACCCTAAACCCTGACACCCCTAAACCCTAAACTCTAAACCCTGTCCATAAGCCCCTCAGTCTTGAATCATCGTGCCTCGCCCCGCATGACTTACTTCCCCAGTAAGCCAGGAAAATCAAAGGTTAAACTTTCAGACTACTACTATACTAAACTATAGGAACCCAAAAAGTTAAAAGGTTTGGTATTGGAGAACGAAGATGAACCCTTAACCACCAGACCCGAAATCCAAAAGCCTCGAACCCCAAACACTGAAATCCCGAAACCCAAATTCTAAACCTGTGGATTCTAAGATGCTGGGCTCCGCACTGTGAGCCGCCTTTGCGTGGTGTGCTTTTCGTTTCGGCGTTTTCGGGGTGAGAGGTTTGGGGTTTAGGTTTAGGATGTTTAGGGTTTAGGGGTATTGTCAGGGCTCCGTTTAAGGCTTCTCTACTTGATTTGGATTTTTGGATTCTGGGCTAATGTGGCTTAGGGTGAAGGGGTTTCGGATTGAGGTTTGCCGCAGCAGAGTCTTAGGATGTAAGGTTTAGCGGGGGTTTAGGGTTTAGGGGTTAAGGGGTTTAGGATGTAAGGTTTGGGGTCTCGGGTTTAGGGCTGAACGTATCTCGATTGCTTAGGGTTTTCCTGCTTCACAAGCGAACGTGAACTTGCAGGAAACCCTCAAGAAACCCTGAGCCCCAACAAGCAAAACGGGTATAGGGGTTTAGGGCTCAGGGTTTCAGGAGAAGCAAAAAACAAACACAAGCCCTAAAGTTCTGGCTTGTGGTTTCGGAGATCAGAGTCCTAAACCCAAGGCCCTACGCCCTAAGCCCTTAAACCCGTAACTGGGCTGTCAAGTAGGCAGGGAATGAAGACAGCTGTAAATTTTCTTTTCAGAAGTAGTGGCTCCTTTACGGAACAGGTCCAAAAAAACGAAGTATAGCAGTCCTGAACCCTAAAGCCTAAACCCTAAGCCCTATTTAAACAGAGACTCTCAAGGCACTGTGCCGGAAGTCCTCAAGCGGTGGAACGCCAGACAAAAAGCCGCAAAAAAAACTGATTACCACAGTTCAGTAACCTCTTTAGTTCAGTTTAGACCACCAAACAACGTAATGTAGAGGCCCATATAGCTTGAATTGGGTTCGGTGTACAGTGTAGTATATTTCGTTCAAGAGGGGAACCCTATGGATGAGTATTAATATGTCTTATAGGGTTTAGGGTTTAGGGTTTGGGCTTAGGGTTTAGGGTTAAGGGTTTAGCTTTTAAGAGTTGGTACTTATTCAGGCTGGAGAAAGACTCCAAAATAAAGATGCCATGCGGGTACCACTGAGAGACCTACCCCTAGAAACCTTAAACCCTAGCTAGAAGCCCCACCTGAGAGACCACCGGCAGGACGGAGATGCTTTAGCAAAGCCCTCTCATCCCACTCGACGCGGTCCTGGCATTAGGGACTTTGGAGGCTTAGCGGCTTAGGATTTAGGGTGTAGGGTTTAGGGTTTAGGGTTTAGGGTTTAGGGTTTAGGGTGTAGGGTTTAGGATTTAGGATGTAAGGCTTATAGGGTTCTCGGAGGTGCAAGGTACGTATGCCTCATCCACTTACCTCCCCAATAAGCCCAGGAAATAAAAGGCTTAACGTTCAGACTACTCGTAAGTTATGAGAACCCAAAAAAAGCTTCCCTAAACCCTAAACCCTAAACCCTAAACCCTTAAAGCAGGTCATGAGCACGGTCCCCAGCGAAAGGCGTGAGACTGACTCTGTCGAATTAAGAGCTCAACCAAAAAAAGGTTGGGTATTGGAGATCTAAGTTATGGAACCCTATAGATCCCTTTAAAGGAACCCTATAGACCCCTGTAAAGGGGTTTAGGGTTTAGGGTTTAGGCTTTAGGGGTGGGAGGTTCAGATTTCAAATTTGTTAAGACTTACTAACCTTAGTACAACTGAAGCCATCGCTAGTTAATCTGGTGGTTACTATAGGTAAGTGGTTCACAGCTGCGCTCTAACTGGTGTAGCTTTTTGTTGTGCGTCCTGTGGACTTTATTGTTTATCCTACACTGCACGAGCCGTCAAGCCTCTTACCATGATCCGGATTGTCTTTCACTGCCTCTCGAACGTCAGAAACTTGAGTATATAATATACTGAGATCTGCTGCGAGTAGTTTCAAAAGGACCCACGGCATTCCGCTTCCCTGCTTAAGAACAGACGGGTATTCCCCAAAGCCTAAGCCCCTAAACCCTAAATCAAACCCTAAGCCCCTAAACCCAACACACGGTTTAGGCTCACGTATTCTGGCCCAGCCTCCGAGCCTTAGATGGGTTTAGGCTTTAGGGCTTAGGGTTTAGGGTGTAGGGTCTCTGATTCCCTGTTGGGGCTACATAAAAAGTGATCTCTTTTCAATCCTCATTCGGTTGTTTGTCGCAAAAAATCTTACTTCCCCAGTGAGCCAGGAAAATAAAAGGTTAAACTTTCAGATTACTACTGAACTGTAAGAGCCCAACAAAAATTAAAGGTCGGGTATTGGAGAACTAAGCTAAACCCGTAAACCCTACACCCTAAACCCCTAAACCCAAAACCCCTAAACCCTAAACCCCTAAACCCTAAACCAGCCAACAAGGGCCCTGTAGGGTCGAGTCTTGGCTATTGACCTTTGAGGATTTTTAGTGGCTTTCGGCGCTCGGTGCAAAGGAGTCGATAAGTCGATAAGCTTTCTGGGGTTCGGCGCGTAGGGTTTAGGGTTTTAGGGTTTAGGGTTTTAGGGTTTTCGGGTTTAGGGTTTAGGGTTTAGGGTTTGGAGGTTTTGAGGTTTCGGGTTTTCGGGTTTAGGGTTATGGGCTTAGAGTTTAGTGCGCAGGGATTTTGAGGCTTTACGGGAGGTCTTAGTTCGGTCTTACGGTCGCCGCAGGTCAAGAAACACCCGATTCGGATGTCAGAATGGTATTATGTATTAGTTAGGGTACTATTGGGGGTTTGGGGAGTGCGACGTACCGTTTCGAAATACAGGCGATGTCTTCAGGCTTGTCCAATCTTCACCTATACGATGGCAAAACTTGCGCTGCGCTCCTCATCGTACTGGAGACTGACCTATACCCCAGTCATAACCACTGCAAGGTGTCCTACAACTCCTCAATTCTTCACAGGTAGAGTTCAAGGCTTCGGCACAAAACCTAAACCCAAACCTCTTGTCGTGCTGTTGAGGAAAGCAAACATGGCTTGGTAGACCCACTGAGAAGGAGCGATAACACCAACACAAAAGTCAAAGACCAGTAACAGGCTAAACCCGTAGGGAACTTCACTACAACTATAGCAATCATAGAGCCCTTTAGAACCTTCTTAGAACACCTGCAAGTTATTGCCCTAAACCCTAAATCCTAAACGCCTATCCTGAACCCCTAAACCCCTAAACCCTCAACCCTGCAGCCGGCCTCCCCGCAGAACATCTGTCGGAGCTCTGCTGGTCTAAAGGCTGCTAGGCATTGAACCTCGTCGACGGTTTAGGGTTTAGGGTGCTTAGGGTTTTTAATACAGAGGCAATAATAGGGTTTTGGGGCCCATTATGCTATAATTATACTAAGGAACCCCCAAAATAGTATTGGTAACCATTAAGGTCCCCTCTATTGGTGTGTTTTAAACCCTAAACCCTAAACCCTAAACCCTAAACCCTAGGGTTTAAGATTTGGGGCTTAGGAGGCTTCAGGGCTTCGGGTTTTGGGCTCTGGAGCTTCGGGTTGCAGCGGCCTGGACAGTCAGATAACCCTAAAACCCTAAAGTTTGGGTTTTAGGGTTTAGGGTTTAGGGTTTAGGGTTTAGGGTTTAGAAACCCTAAAACCCAAATCCTAAACCCTAAACCCTAAACCCCAAATCCTAAACCCCTAAAGCCCTCATCACTTCATCCCCAGAGCCCCAAAACCTAAACGGTTTAGGGTTTAGGGTTTAGGGTTTAGGGTTTAGGGTTTAGGGTTTAGGCCTTGAAAGGTCCCGAATATGGCCCTCGAAGGGTAAATCCCACGCGAATCATCCTTAACTCGTGCGGCTAACCCATGTTCCACCTTTATGGCTCTAAACCCTAAGCCCTAAACCCCCGGACCCCTAAACCCTGAACCCTAGCTATCAACTTTAGAGGGCGCCTGCCGGCTTTTAAACTCCTCGTCTGCCAATAGCCCCGTACAAACGAGATTTCTTGCTGCCCACTTTATTCTATCATCTGCAAGGGGCGCTAAGCCCTAAACCCCTAAACCCTAAACCCTAAACCCCTAAAACCCTAAACCCTAAACCCCTAAACACCTAAACCCTAAAACTCCAAGAACGGACACTACTGTTGAACTCGAGATCCGGATTGCCCCTCGTGATATTAGACAGGGGTGCTTATGTTCAAGGCTTCAGGATTAAAGCTTATGTAGGGTTTAGGGGGTTTCAGAGGAGCCCAAAACCCAATTCTAATTTATGAAGCCCTAAACCCTAAACCCAAACCCTAAAGCCCTAAATAGGCGCCTACATTAAACCCTTCGGAGGCCTTTGGCATGAAATCTGAGCTCGCGACAGGCAAAATCTCATTGAGGCCTGCTCGGAATGCATCCACCTGACGTCTCGGAGTTGCTGGAAGTTTCGGGAGTTTCGGGCCGGTATAAAGGTTTAGGGTTTAGAGGTTGTTTAAGGGTCAGAGTCAGAGGCTTAGGGTTTAGTGTAGAAAGGGTTTAGGGCTCAGGGTTCAGGGTTTAAGGTTTAGGGTTTAGGGTTTGAGGTTTAGGGTTCAGGGTTTTGGGGTTTAGCAGACAGGAAGTTGGAACGTCAGATCCTGACGCCCTTGAGGTAAAGCATATCGCAGTCTAGCACTGATCCCTTCCCCCGAATATTAAACGGGGGGGGCCCTCCCTCCCAGTAAAACTCGGAAAGTGTTCTTGTTATTAGGGGGTATGTTTATCTCTACTGCCACTTTTGGGTTCGTGCTCTTGCTCCTGCTCTGGCTCTTGTTCCCGCACTGGCTTTTGCTCCTGCTTCTGCTGCGTTTCTTGCGCCTGCTCCTGCTGCTTTTTGCCGTTGCTGCCGCTTTTGCTCCTGCTCTTGCTCTCACTCCCGCTCTTGCAGTTGCTGTGCCCTTACTCCCGCTCTTGCTGATGCTCCCGCTTTTGCTTTTGCTCTTGCTCCTGCTCTAACTCCTGCTCTTGCTTGCGCTATTGCTCTTGCTCTTACTGTGCTCAAAGGGTACTTGGACTTGGAGCCTCGAAACCTTCCCCTACTTCAGAATGGGTTTTAAAGGGCAGGGCTGATATCGGGAGCAGCCGCCCCAAGGTGTTTTGGTTATTAGGGCGGGTGTTTGATAAAAGGGGAAGGGATTAGTCGTCTTTAACCCTGCTCCATTTTTTAAACTTCTCGATAAGAATCCAAACCTTTACTTCGGGAACATGCTTTAAAATAAGCACGACCCCTTAATTCAAGGTGTCGGGATCTCTGAGCACGTGGAGGTTCAGGGGACGTAGCAACTACGTGGGGCTTTGAATACCTCAATTGGGGACATATGTAGATTCAGCTATTGGCTATAGTTGCTAATTCCAACCCTACTTACTAAGACCCTTGAACCTCCAAGTAGACTCTAAACCCACACCCCAAACCTCGGTAAAACCCGTATGACAAACCCTTAAAGAACCCTAAAATGGACCCTAAAAAGGAAGCCTTACTACGTCCCCTGAACCTCCAAATAAGGTTTCGTGTGCCAGGTCCTAAGGTTTGGGACTCTTTGACAGTCCGGCGGAAGGTTCCAAGAACGACCCAGAGGACTTGGGGTTTAGGGTTTAGGGTTCAGGGGTTTAGGGAATTTAGGGCTCAGGCCCTAAACCCTAAACCCAAAACCAAGTTCCCCCTTAAACCCTAAACCAAGTTCCCACTTAAACCCTAGACCCTAAAGCCCAAAATCCCTAAACCAAGTTCCCCCTTAAACCCTAAACCCCACAGAGTTTGAGAGTTTAGGGTTTCGGGTTGAAGGCTTAGGGTCCAAGGTCGGGGTGTAAGGCCCTCAGGTCCCAAAAGACCATCCAGTATCACTGCTATCTATTATTATTATTATTATTATTATTAATATTATTATTATTATTGGTTTAGGGTTTAAGGCTTAGGGTTTAGGGTTTAGGGTTTAGGGTTTGCTACAATCTGATTGTGAGTATTGTTAGTATCATTTGCATTACCATTGTAGCTTTGGGGACCTATAATTCCTTCAGAGTAGCATATCTGGACCCTCTTGGCTGCAGCGTCTTTTCTTTTCTTGGAAGGTAACCCCCCTAAATCCTAAACCCTAAACCGTAAACCGGAGATCCCTACACAAGAAACCAAAGCCCTCAACCCACACACGCCTAAAGCCCGAAACCGAACCCCTAAACCCCTGAAGCGTGTCAGTCAGGGTCTTGGCTTTAGGGTAAACCTCAAACCCCTGCACCAAACTCTCCAACTCTAAAATTCCTCAACCCCTAAACCCAAAGCCCCTAAACCCTTAATGCCCTCCAAACCCTAAACCCTAAACCCTAAACCCCTAAATCCTAAATCCTAAACCCTAAACCCCTAAACCCCTAAACCCCTAAACCCTAAGCCATAAACCCTAAAACCCCTAAACCCTAAACCCCTAAATCCTAAACCCGAAACCCCTAAACCCCTAAACCCCTAAAGCCCTAAACCCTAAACCCTAAACCCTAAACCCCACACCCTAATGCCCTAAACCCTAAACCCTTAATGCCCTCCACCCCTCCGTCCGACCTGGGCCCGGATTCCGGTGTCGAACCAAAAGGTCGTGACCTGCCACCACTTGGAGGCCCGGGGGACTTTGGGTTTAAGGTTTAAGGTTTTTTTTTAAGAAGGTTTAAGGTTTAGGGTTTAGGGTTTAGGATTTAGGGTTTAGGGTGTAGGGTGTTAGGGTTATAATTGGGGTAACTCCATTTAGGGTACTTATAACTCTACTTATAACCTACTTACTAAGTCCCCGGGGCCTCCAAGCAAAGGAAGACAACCGGGTTAGAGTTTAGGGTTTAGGGGTGTAGGGCTTAGGGTTTATGGCTTGGGGTTTAGGGTTTAGGGGTTTAGGGCTTAGGGTTTAGGGCTTGGGGTTTAGGGGTTTAGGGTGTTTAGGGCTTGGGGTTTAGGGGTTTGGGGTTGAGGGCTTAGGGTTCAGGGGTTTAGGGCTTGGGGTTTAGAGGTTTATTGTTTAGGACTCAGGGTTTAGGGGTTCAGAGTTGGGGGTTTCGGGGTTTAGGGTTTGGGGTTCAGGGCTTGCTTGGGGATTCAGGTTCATAAGGGTTTGGGGGATGGGGTTTAAGGCTTGGAGTTTAGGATTCAGTCGGACTTGCTTCTGTCAAACGAAGCGCAGGGCTTTGCCCGCGAGGAAGTGGGTTTCAAGTGTTTCTGAGCATTCCTTCACAGGGTTTCGCGGGGGTGAGGGATAAGGCTGCCGGTGGAGTTTGGGGTTGAGGTTTTAGAGTTTACATAAACCCTAAACCCTAAACCCTAAATCCTAAACCCTAAACCCTAAACCCTAGAGTCTAAGAAATTAGGATTCAGTGCTTTTAGGGCCACCCCACCTGGTCCAGGAACTCGTCAATTAAGGAATATTCCTTAAATTATAGTAGGATCCTTATTTTGATTTAAGGTATCCTGAATCCCCGTAGGGATATTGGAGTCTCTGGGGACGCCCCACCTGGTCCAGGAACTCGTCGAGATTATCCAGTGTGACCGGAATGTTCTCGCCGCCGGGGCGCAAGGATGCGCCACTCAGCCCTGGACGGGTTGAAGGACACGAGTTGCGGCACAGGGATTAAGGTTCAAGGTTTCGGGTTTAAGTTTAATGCTTAAGGTTCAGGGTTCGGGGTTGAAGGTTCAGGGTTTAGGGTTGAAGGTTTATGGCTTTAGAGTTAATTTTCAAGGAGGTCAAGCACTCTCCGACGAGGCTAACCAACATACTGTAGGGGCCTGAATAGTCCGAATAGGGTTTTGGTTGGGGTGTATATTTTCCCTTCAACTCTGATGAGGAAAAACCCAAAATAGTATAGGTAACTATTAAGGCCCGTAAGTGCTTGTACTCCTCCGGTTCGGCCGTATCGGCATCGCCGTCTCCAGATTCGTGAAACCCAAGATTTGCCATGTGGGCACTCGACGCATGTTGACCCTGCCAACTTCTTCGAGGGAAGTTGACCGAAGCAGGGGTGAACAAGGCATCCAGTCCATAGGGCTGTCGAAGCTTGGCCTGTAAGCTTTCGGCCCCACGAGGACAGCAACCGGGCCCACTGCAAAAGTGCTGCACCTCTGAGTGCATGCGAACGTCTCCATTTAGTATATGGTCCCACAAAAACATCCTTCGAGCCTCGGCCTTCCTCTTTGGAGCATGAGGCCAAAGAACACTGGCCATGTGGGAGCGCCACTGCTTCACTTCAGCAGGTGGCTCCCCTGCATAGACTCGGCAGTTCTTGAGGGCAAACTTCATCGCTGAGCTGGAAGCCTGAATGTGAATAAACTGCTCCGTGGGGCTCCTCTATTCTAGTTATACTGAAACAGGCAAAGGAAAGCCTAACTAATTTCTTCAGGAACCTATACTAAACTCCAAACTCTTGTAGTAACCCACCCATTCAGAAGGAACCCTCTAACCTAACCCTAAGCCCTCAACCCTAAAATCCTAAGCCCTAAACCCTAAACCCTAAGCCCTAAACCCTAAACCCTAAACCCAAAGCCCTAAACCCTAAACCCTAAACCCTAAACCCTATTCTGTCCGTTAAGCCCAGAAATGCGCTTGTCGAGCTTCGGGTCTCGCCTCGTATGAGGTTCGGGGTACTTAACAACCTAATTACAGTTTAGGGTTTAGGGTTTAGGGTTTAGGCTTTAGGGTTTAGGGTTTAGGGTTTAGGGTTTAGGGGTGTAGGGTTGAGGGTTTAGTGGTTTAGGGTTGAGGGCGGTAGGGTTGAGGGCGGTAGGGTTTAGGGCTTAGGGTTTAGGGGTTTTAGGGGTTTAGGGTTCAGGGTTTCAGGGCTTTAGGGGTTTGGGGTTTTAGGGTTGACGGTTTAGGGGTTTAGGGGTTTAGGGGTTTAGGGTTTAGGGGTTCAGGGGTTTAGGGTTGCGTTTGCAAACCACTCTGTCCCCTCACTCAAGTACTTGGGTTATAGTTGGGTTACAACTACAGACATCCACAGAACTCTTTTGGGTCCTTAGTGCCTTAGTAACTAAGTAGCAGTAAACCTAAACCCTAAACCCTAAACCCTAAACTCGCCCAACCCGAAGCTCCCCCATCTTACTAAACCCTTAGCCCTACCAGGCCCTACCTTGCTCCTTAAACGCAACATCATGGGGGATTCCGAAAATAAGGGGTACCTCATTTTGGGGGTCCTCATAATAGGGATCCTACTATTTAAGGTATTATATTAGGTCCCCGTATTTTCGGAAACCCCATCATCGCCTTCAAATCCCTGGCAGCCGCATCTTAAGGCTAGGATCTTCTGCGGCTTCTTAGAACGAACCCGTGGGTAATTCTCTAAAGCAGGGTCCTTTTGTTACCAGGATGCCGTACTATTTGGGGGACCTGAAAAGGGACACCAATTTAGAGAACTACCCATGTAAAAACATGTAACGATATGTCTTCATGATGAGAATGCATAGGGTTTTGGTGCATATTTAGCCAATACCAGGGCTGCAAGCGCTTATACAGACCCATATGTTACAGAGGGAGAGTGTCTTAAAGCTCAAGGACGGGAAAGCCATCCGGACGCCTGTTTCGAGGAAGCTAACGCCCAGCAATTTCCTCGGCATTTTTCTGCAAGGACCCAAACACAACACGGACGCGAGAATCTCATGAATTTAGGGGCCCAGGCTTTGAACTTGGTGGCGGCTGGCGTCCACTACACCACAGCAAAATGGAACACTTTACATGTCAAAGGCAGCATGCCTTCTGCTCACAGTCTCTATTTCTGTGTGTAAACTCAGAAGCCCGTATGCCCCCTCCCCCATTTACGGCCCTTATAAACCCCCGAACCCTCAAACCTGCTGCATCCCCCTTCTTTAAGGACCTATCAGGAAGAATCAGGGTCTACATTGCAGTCGTTCCGGCAAAAAAGCACACACTGAGCCCTTGTTACGCTTGCGAGCTCGGTAGGCCTCTTGAAATAAAAACCCCAGAGCACTCCAAAGCCTGCATCAGAACTCCTAGGTTTAAGTAGGCATGAACCCAAACCCTTTACACTAACCCATAAACCCCAAACCCTAGAACCCTAGAGCCCTAACCCTCACCTTGAATCCTAAAGCCTCGACCCCTCAAACCCCTGAACCCTAAAGCCTAAACTGTGCAACCCTTAAAGGAACCCCAAAACCCTGCAACCCTTAAAGGAAGCCTCAACCCTAAACCGTGAACCCCTTAGAGGAATCCTAATCCTTGGCTGACTTCTGAACCCCTCCAAAAACATGAACTTTGAGCCTCCTTATTATGGGTCGTATAGGCAACCTCAAAAGATAAAGTCCTCAGCGCCAACCAGAAGAACACCAAGAATCCCTGACCCCTGGAAAACCCTTAAGTCCCTTAAGGGGACCCTGTAGGGCTGGGGTTTAGGGGGTTAGGGTTTAGGGGGTTAGGGTTTGGGGTTTAGGTGTTTAGGGTTTAGGGTCTAGGGTTTAAACCCAAAAAGCCCTAAGCTGGAACTGTAGAGCTGGCGAGTGGCAAGTAGTCATCTAGTGACAGCTGCTGGCCAAGCCTCAGAATCGCCGTCTTTGCTTAGTTTGAATAGGTTTAGGGTTTAGGGTTCATAGGGTTATAGGGTTTAGGGTTTACCTGTGACCCCAAACCACACAAAATAGAAGGTCATGACCCCTAAAGTAGGAGGTAGAACCCTCAAAACGGTAGGTCTTTTGGATCCCCAGGTAGGGGTTTAGGGGTTTAGGCTTCAGGGGTTTAGGGGTTCAGGTCGTGAGGTGCTCAGGGTTTGGGGCTTTGGGGTCGAGGTCGTGCTGGTTCGGTGCTGACAGGTGCGCACCAATTCTTGGCTGACTTCCGAACCCCTCCGAAAAGTTAAACTTTTAGCCTCCTTATTATAAGTCATATAGAAACCCAAAAAGTTAAAGTCCTAAGAGCCAACCAGAAGAACGCCAAGAATTTTTCGCGTGGCATGGGAACCCGGATTTCCAGAATCAACCAAGGATACGACGGTTTGGGGTTTAGGGGTTAAGATTTACAATTCTGTGGGCAGCTGCCCAAACACCTAACCCCAAAACCCTAAATCCCTAAACCCGAAACCCCAAAACCCCCAAAACCCAAACCCGTGCGGGTGCGTGAATTTCTTGCGCACGTATCGGCCCTGGCTCCAAGCAGGAGCAGAAGCGATACTTCCCACAGGCCTTTCCGGGCGGGTTAAGGGTTTAGAGTTTAGTTTACGGTTAGGGTTTAAGGTTTAGGGTTCAGGGTTTAGGGTTCAGGGTTCAGGGTTCAGGGTTTAGGGTTTAGGGTTAGGGTAGCCGTCCGGGCAATTAGGATCGGCCCGATAGTGGAGAAAACAATCGAACCAAGTCATCGGTGCTGAATTGCAGCAGCACCCTCGCAGCTGCGGTGTGATTACCGCGGAACATGGCATCCAGTCCGACCCCGAAACACGAGCCCAAGTGAGCAACGGATGGATGTGATTCCCTCCATCCTGAACCCTGATATGCAAACGTAAACCCAAACCGAATCGTCCTACACCCTTGACTACAGTGCACCCTAAAACCTGAAACCCTGAACCTGAGCCCTATACTATAACCCTAAACCCTAAACCCTGAACTCTATACTATAACCCTAGTCCGGAACCCTAAAACCCTAAACCCTGAACCCTATACTATAATCCTGGTCCTAAACTCTGAACTCTGAGCCCTATACTATAACCTTACCCTAAAACCCTGAACCCTATGTTATATAACCCTAATCCTAAACCCTAAACCCTAAAACCTTAACCCTAAACCCTAATACTAAAACCTTAACCCTAAACCCTAAACCTATGCCATAAAGGGTCCCTTTAGAACGCCCGGCTTAGCTCGACGTTCCGTCACACCGGGGCCTTTCTTGGTATTGGAGAATCGGGGTTCCCAGATTGTGGGGTTTAGGGTTTATGGTTTTAGGATTTTAGGGTTTAGGGTTTAGGGTTTAGGGTTTAGGGTTTAGGGTTTTAGGGTTTAGGGTTTAGGGTTTAGGGTTCCTTCATAGCTGCTGCCATCACCGTAGGTGGCGCCCCAGTCGACCCAGGCCTCTTGGTCCGAGCTCCAGCCTTTGCCCCTCTTCTCTTTCGTTGCCAGGACGCCTTTAACATCTTCCGTCGCGATCGTGCAGCCTTCACAGCTCGTCTTCTGATTCTTTTGCTGCATACTCTGCTGCACTTCATTCTCCCAAAGCTTCTCGGGAGCCTCAGCCACTTCCTCTTTCGTGCTGCACCACACTTTGCCTCTTGACTTCTTGAAGACATCAATCACGCTGTCGAAGAGAGCTCTTCCCTTTACTGGTGTTTGACCTTTTCCGCATCCTTTGCCGAAACCTCCCGTGCCGTCGTTCTTGCCACCCCCCAGGTCTTTTCCTTTCGCAAAGTACTGTTGCGTTGATTTGTTGAACTGCCACACGTAGTCGCACTTCGAGAACCAATGAACATTCGGATCAGTCCAGAGACCTTCGCCGTCCCCTTCTAACAGTGAACTGCTCAGACCGTTTAGACGCTGTAAGAAGGACCCTAACAAAGTTCTGAAACTTAAGGTCACAAGGTCCTGAACCTCAAACGGCATACTTGCTAAGTCACCCTCAACCTCCCTACGGCCCAGAACGCGTCCCAAACCTTTAGCCCTAAACCCTAAACCCTTTAGCCCTAAACCCTTGCATCCGTAAATCCTGAACCCTGAGCCCTAAACAAGTAAACCCTAAAACCCTAAACCCTAAAGCCCTAAACAAGCAAACCCTAAAACCCTACAGTACCCTGAAATCCTGAAACCCAACCGGCACCGCAAAGCCCAAACCCAAACTCCAAACCGTAGTTACAGGAGATCAGTGGGCTTACAAAGTAAGGCGGTCAGGCTCACGGTTTAGGGTCTAAGGTTTAGTGTTTAGGGTTTAGGGTTTAGGGTTTAGGGTTTGGCAAGTTGATAAGTGTGCGAACTGTAGCTATATCTGTGCGTAGCCCCACTGACCTTGCATGTAGCCGAAGCCTGCTTCTGAGCCCTTTCATTCATTCCTTTCAGCGAACCCCAAACCCTCTGAGCCCAAGTCCCACAAAACCCCGTGAGGTCTAAAACTCAGACCCCTTTAAGGGGTTTAGGGTTTAGGGTTTGGGGTAAACCCTGAAGCATGGAAGCCCTTACAGCTTTAAAGGAACTCTTAAAGGTCGGAGTGAGGATTCGGGGGACCCTTGGGGAGAAAGACCCTCTCACTAAGCTCCCTTTTGCAGAGAGCCAGAAGTGGGTTAAGAATGGTCCCCTTTACGGAGTCTCCGTAATACTACCTAGGAAACTCCGCTCTAAACCCTCAACTTAAACGGAGCCCTAAAGCTAGGCATAAATTCTCAGACTCCCCGAAGGCCCGACGATTCCGTCTCTTCCACTTTGCTGTCGATGCCAGCACTGCCTCCGGGCTTATAGGTTCGCTTAGAGCTAGGGTTTAGGGTTTAGGGTTTAGGACAAGTTAAACTTTTAGCATCCCTTATTGTAGTTCATATAGAAACCCAAAAAGCTAAAGTCCTAAGACGAGCCAACCAGAAAAAAAACACCAAGAGTAGATACAACTATAGTTACCTTACATACAACCCTACCAATTAAGTCACTTAAAATAGCTATTCGGATTCGTATGCTATGTAGATTCGGTACTCTGTCAGCCCCAATAAGTAAAACTATGTAGGTATTCGGATTCGTATGCTATGTAACCCTGCACCCTAAACCGTGATTGGGTACTGGGGCCGGGCAAAAACTCCCACAAGGGAACTTGACCCAACTGCTCTACCTCTGTGAAAACTATTGCCACACCGTGTCCTCTTTGAATGATAAAATAGACAGATAACCCCTATACCCTAAACTTCCTGAACCCTAAACCCCTACGTAGACTTCCTAAAGCCTAAACCCCTAACCCCACTAAACTCTGAACTTCTTAACCTGCCGAGGCCTGGGTCGGAAGCCAAGAACCGACTTGTAAAGTCTGGTCTCGCTGCCTCGCAGGGTGTGGGGCTTTGGGTTTCGGTTTGAGGGTTTAGGGTTTAGGTAGGGTTTAGGGTTTAGGGTTTGGGGTTTAGGGCTCAGGGTTTTGGGGTTAAGGGTGTAGGCTCGTTTTCCCTGGATGCCCCAGGACTTTCAACTCAAGCCTTCAAAACTAAAACCTGAGCAAGTGCAGCCCACATTGCGGGTGGTCCCTCCCTACTAAAAAACCCCAAATCCAGGGCAGAGTTTAAATCTTAGGGAGTGGTCGTGCATCCAGGTATGGGTCAGTGAGATAGGTACCAGGTAGCTAGATGTAGAGAGATAGATAGATGCATAATCGAGAGATAGCTATCGCGTTAAACCCTGAAGCCCAATGCCCTACACCATAAACCCTAAACCCTAAAGCCCAATGCCCTACACCCTAAACCCCGAAAGCCTCAAGCCTTTAACCCTGGAAACCTGCGCCTGTGGCTTCACGCCTTAAAAGGCCCTAAAACCTTAATTCCTTTAGCTTTAAGCTTCAATTAAACCTGAAGCTCGAAGTCTGTAGCCTTAGGCCCCTAAACCCTAAACCCCTAAACCCTAAACCCTAAACTCTAAACCCTAAACCCTAAAACCCTAAACCCTGAACCCTAAACCCTAAACCCTAAACCCTTAACGCTGAACGTTGAACCCCAAACCCTAAGCCTTATGTCCTAAGCCCTGAACCTTAAGCCCTCAAGCCCCACGACCTTCTCGCCCCGTCCTTTTGGGTTTGGGTTTAGGGTTTAGGGTTTAGGGTTTAGGGTTTGCAATCTCAACTTTCCCCCAGTGCGTCAAGTAACTTTCAGTTCTTGGCCTGAAACCGCAAAATTCCGGGGTCTAAGATTGGCTAACTAGGGGGAAGGGATCAAGCCTAAACCCAAAACCCCTGAACACTAAACCCCTAAACCCTAAACCCTAATCCATTAAAGACCCTCCCAGAAAACCGGCTGAACCTCTTCCTGGCACCAAGCATCTCCTCTCCCCTCCTGATATCTGAGGAGACTTACACGGCTTTCTAGGCTTTTTGTAGGAGCCGGTTTAGGGTTTAGGGGTTTTGGGTTTAGGGTTTAAGGATTTAGGGTTTAGGGTTTAGGGGTTTAGGGTTTAGGGTTTAGGGCTGAGGGGTTTTAGGGTTTGCTGGGCTTCATAAGGTTGCAAAACGGCTTTATAGGCGAAAACGGCTTTATCGGCGTTTTATGGGCTTTTGGGTTTAGGAGGGGTCAGGGGCTTGGGGACCCCAAGCCAGAAAAGCCCTACACACCTCCTCAACCCTCAAACCTCAACCCTTCCTAAACCCTAAAGTGTGTAGGGCCAAATTGTAGGGCTTAGGGGATGGTCAGGGATACCGAACATAGAAGCACACAAGCAAACATCAGGATAGGGATATCCCGTATACAGCCTTCTACGGAAGCCCAATCAGGTAGGGGCATCCCTTTAACATGCATTCTTCCTATGTCCTGTCTGGGCGCCTAAGAACAAGCCTCCACTTCGCCAATGGTTACTTTTCGGGTTCGCTTCTGGGCTCTATGAGGTCGCATTGGGGAATTAGGTTGAATCTGGGGGTCAGGCTTAGGGCTTTTAGGCTTACTTCCCCAATAAGCCAGGGAAATAAAAGGTTAAACTCTCCGATTACTACTAAACTACAAGAACCCAAGAGGTGTAAAGGTTGGGTATTGGGGAACTGAGTTATGGAACCCTATAGATCCCCTTAAAGGAACCCTATATATAGAGATCCCTTTAAAGGAAACCTTTTAGGGTTTATATAGACTTTATAGGCTTCTGAATCTGCTGGCGCAGGATGTAAGTTTAAAGTATGGAATTGTTGGAGGCTTTGGCTGTGAACCTTCGCATGTGGCTTGGGGGTTTAGGGTTTAGGGTTTAGGTGTCTTCTTGGGGCTCAGAGAAGTGAAAAAGTGGATATGAAACCTGACATGCTGCACCTAAACCCGGACGAATTTTTGGTTCAGGGAAATAAAAAAAGCCATAAGCCTTCACGAGCAGCCCTGACTGCTCGGTACAGAAGTGGGCTTAGGGGATGGTCAGGGATGCCGAACATAGAAGGGTTTAGGGTTTAGGGTTTAGGGCAAACATCAGGATAGGGATATCCCGTATACAGCCCCTTCTACGGAAGCCCAATCAGGTAGGGGCATCCCTTTAACATGCATTGCATTCTTCCTATGTCCTGTTTGGGTGCCTAGGAACAAGCCTCCACTTCGCCAAGGGTTACTTTTCGGGTTCGCTTCTGGGCTCTATGAGGTCGCATTGGGGAATTAGGTTGAATCTGGGGGTCAGGCTTAGGGCTTTTAGGCTTACTTCCCCAATAAGCCAGGGAAATAAAAGGTTAAACTCTCCGATTACTACTAAACTATAAGAACCCAAGAAGTGTAAAGGTTGGGTATTGGGGAACTAAGTTATGGAACCCTATAGATCCCCTCAAGGAACCCTATATATAGAGATCCCTTTAAAGGAAACCTTTTAGGGTTTATATAGACTTTAGGCTTCTGAATCTGCGTGCGCAGGATGTAAGTTTAAAGTATGGAATTGTTGGAGGCTTTGGCTGTGAACCTTCGCGTGTGGCTTGGGGGTTTAGGGTTTAGGGCCTCGGGTTTAGGTGTCTTCTTGGGGCTCAGACAAGTGAATGTAAAACCTACATGCTGAACCTAAACCCGGACGAATTTTGGTTCAGGGAAACCAAAAAACCCATAAGCCTTCACGAGCAGCCCTGACCGCTCGATACAAAAGTCGGAACAATTTCTTGGGGGGCCTTACTTTTCCACACAAAACATCACGGCTCTTAGAACACCTTCTTAAGAGGTTAACGCGTCATAGCCTATACAGGGCGTATAGCATCAACAACCCCTAACGCCACCAAACAAAATTAAGGTCTCGATAGTCCTAAGCAGAACCCTTTCAAACCAGATCAACACCCCTCATAAACTATGTTCTCGGTAGCCGGTTCATAATAAGGGAATTACCTCCTGTTCCTACTCTGCCCTAAACCGTAAACCCTTAAACCCCGCGAAATGAAAAGAGCAAAAGCGTGCTACCCTAAACCCTAAACCCTAAACCCTAAACCCTGAACCCTGAACCCTAAACCCTAAACCCTAAACCCTAAACCCTAAACCCTAAACCCTAAACCCTGAACTCTAAACCCTGAACCCTAATCCTAAACCCTAAACCCTAAACCCTAAACCCTAAACCCTAAACCCTAAACCTAAACCCTAAACCCTAAACCCTGAAAGCCAAGCCGGCTTCATTCCCCGGGCTCCTTCTGTCCGTGCGAGATGTGCTCGGCAAATTTCGCCAGAGCACCTCCAGGATTGGATTTTAGGCTTTCGTAATCACTGCGCAGCCCACAAACCCCCCTAAACCCTAAACTCTAAACCTTTAAGCCTGAAGCCTAAACCCTAAACCCTAAACTCTAAACCCTGAAGCCTAAACCCTTGAAGTTTAGGCTTTATAGGTTTGATCTGAGTTTCAGTTCCCCCATAACGGCACTCCTCCTCAACTCTCCATGGAGTCAGTACGACTTCACAGCCGTGAAACTCAACTCCAGAATTTCGAACGCTATATACGAACTATTCAAAACTTCATGATTCCTCGTCTTGGTCCCAAAACAACTCAAAACACAAACCCTATCCTAAACCCTAAACCACATGGACCTAGGAGTTCGCCGGCCACGCCAGCGCCCGGGCGCGGGAGATGTTTCCGGCCTTTCATGAAGGGTCTTCCCCATGTCAATGGTTTAGGGTTCGGGGCTTAGGGTTTAGGGGTTTATGGTTTCGGGGTTTAGGTTTTAGGGTGTAGGGGTTTAGGGGTTAGGGGTTTAGGCTGTGGATCTCCATGGCCCGAAACAGCACCCAAGGGCCGGAATACCTTTTAGGGTTTAGGGTTTAAGTTTTAGGACTTGGGATTTAGGATTTAGGGTTTAGAGACGTCGAAGAGCAAAATCCGAAACCCTTTATTCCGGTCTAGGAACGGGTTTAAGGATCCACAGGTTTCACTACAAAGCCCGACAGCAAACCTTGGCTGACTTCTGAACCCCTCCCAAAAGTTAGAAGGGTTTACGGCTCAAGTTAAGTTTATAGTCTCCTATTTCATGCCCGCATCTGAGATTATGAAATGCTCCTCAACCGTGAGCGGGTGACCCACTAACCCCTAGCCCCTAAACCCTAAACCGTGTTGCAGGTCCACGAACGGGCTGGAGTGGAGCCGGGGATGCGACTGCTAGAGTGGCTAGAGACACAGGACTCGTCATAGGCCCGGACCGATGCCAAGTTCTTGTTTCGTGCACTGACGCCACGGTTTAGGTTTTAGGGTTTTGGGTTTAGGTTACCCTACCCTAAACCCTAAACCCTAAACCGTTTAGGGTTTAGGGTTTTAGGTTTTGGGTTTTAGGGCCCTAAACCCTATAAACCCTAAACCCCAAACGGTAGGTTTTGGGTTTAGGTTCCGCCCCGAATGTGATCAGGTGCACGTTCTCGTACGAGACGAAGCCTGAGGTCGCATCCCGACACAGGTCCAAGCCGAAGATTGCGTTTAGGGTTTAGGGTTTAGGGTTCAGTGTTTAGTGTTTAGGGTTTAGGGTTTAGGTTCAGCACATACCCAGGCGTTCATAGAGAAACACAATACCCTGAACCCTAAACCACTTTGCTAAGCCTGCTAAGCCTGGTAATGAACCCGAACATGCACCCGCAAAAAGCACACAGTAGAGCCCAATGGAAACCTTTAAGTATAGGGTTTAGGGGCTAAGTATACAGCCTAAATAGTCGGCGTTGTAGTCGGAGTTCTCAAATCCCGAAACTCTACACCTAAACGCCAAAACCCCAAACCCTAAACCCGAACCCCCTAAACCCTAAACCCTAAACCCTAAACCGTTCGGCTACAGGTAGGTTCTGGGGTTCCCTAAACCCTAAACCCTAAACCCTAAACCCTAAACCCTAAACCCTAAACCCTAAACCCTAA